GAAATTTCAAATAATTTTCGCCAATTTCTGCTTGCAATATAATACCCCTGAGCTTTTTCGAGCCAAGATCTGAGCTGACTATAGATAACATTTATATTCGTTGGATATTTGTCTTGGATTGATGATATTTCATAAGGAACCGATAAATAATCTTGTGGGTTGTAGACTTTAATATCAAATTTTTCGTGCACGATGATCTTATTCCGAAGTATAACGGACAATATGTCCTCAACTTAAAATTAAAATGATCCAAATTTTAATTGTCACATAAGTAAATGTAAAAAAAAAAAAGAATTTTAGATCGAGACCAACCAAATAATTTTCTATATATGTTATATTCCGAAACAGGATGATTATGACCTTCACACCGAATTGCGAGTTCAGCAACGTGTACCTGTAAAAGGAAAGGAAATGAAGTAAAATGAGATCTGAAGTAAATTGACCTAAAAAGGCACTATTATGACGTTTAAAAACATTATTTGTTACCCCCATCTGTACAGCAGTATCTGCATCAACTTGTAATCTACAACACGTACCCTTCAATTTATGCGCGCGGAATCAACATATTGGCGGTGTTTGTTTACTGTACTAAAGATGTATCGAAGACCGCCGAAAAAAGAAAGCTGTAACATGCGAGTACGCTTTTAACAATAAAACATATAATTGACATGCATCCATCAATTTACCAGATATTTCATGTCGAGCTAGATCGATAAAAAATGGAAATTTCAATTCTGTGATTTTTTTTTCCTTAACTACGAAAAATCAACTTCCTTCACCTGCGCTATGCCTTAATATATCCTTTTGCGTTCCGAAAGGAAGTTTAAGGAAAAACACTAGCATAACAGAAGCATTTCAGTAAATTGACACCAGGTAGATAGTAAACAAAAGAATCAATTATGACGACTATCATAATAACTAGAAAAAAATTATGACACATGATGCGCAACAAGCAGGACTTTTCCCGATTAAATATTAATATGAATCGGTTCGGTGTTTTAAATCTAGAAAGATCAAGCCTCCTGGCGTCCCAATGCTTGCTGTGCTGTCAAGCTCATCAACGTGAGTCGGATCAAAAGGTGATTTCTAAAAAACCCATGTCATAGTATGGGCTTAAGTATTAGGTCACGTGAATAAGCAAGGGCGTTTACTCACTGAAATTATCGTCAGTAGTTTGATGGCACACGGATTCAACGGCTCATGATCAGGGGGGGAATGACCTTCGTCTTCATTTATTATATACAGCACAATAGTATCATTGGTGAACAATAAATCATTTGTAACAATGATCGAGTATAGTTATAAAACATAGCTTGTAGAATTACACAAACATAACTATCTTATATTCGATAAAACAAGAAGAAATATAACTCACAGTTCATCGAAGTACTCTATCGCCTTAGACATGTTACCTTCTTTGATGGCAATTTTGTGACCGATGAACTGTTTTCATGAGCGAATGTTTATATAATAAAGAGATGGTAAGTTTCGAAAGTTGAAAGTATGCCGTGCCAGTGTAATTTGCCCAAAGACTATAATATATCGTTATATGCTAATGAATCAATTATTAATTTATCAATACAATACCTTGAGGTCATAAGAATCTGGGAAAAGCTCGCACGCTTTGCGATAATGTCTTATTGCATATTGTAATCTAGTATCATTTCTTTCCATTTTACAATTATGGAGGCCTTGGCATTGCTTTTCAAGGAGGGCAACCATTCCGAGCCAAAAACTTTCCACATTGTTGACCTAACGCTTTGCAACGCTGCATCTCGAGTATTCTTCATTTTTTGGAGGAGCTATTATCACAAATTTATTAAGTTAAAATGATTAAAATAGTAATTAATAATATCATAATGAAAAGACGACAATGATATTAATTGTTATCTTTAGTAAGGTTGCCAGCCATAAGTAATAATTATAAACATTACGAATTACAACCTGGGTTGCAATCCTAATTACAACTAATACTCAAAGTTGTAAATATGCCGTAATGGTTATAACTGTCATAATTGCTATAATAATTGTAATTGTCATAATCGTTGTAAATGCCATAATAGGTTGTAAAAATATAAGTAATTGTGTCTTGCACGTCCTTACAGACATGTAATAGCTTACCAAATTTAATGATAGATGAGTACATGTGAACGAAAATCGACTCTAATATTTTCATTATGACTATTGCACCTATTACGACTATTACGTATGGCAAAAAATTACAACTTCGATATTAAAGGTTGCAACCTTCCAATTCTAGTAAACCTATTACGGCAGGAACCTTAATCTTTAGTGATCGATAAAATAACAAGATTAATAACGTACTGCACTACACCATTCATCATGAAAATGGTTCATAAACTGATTGGAACTCATACTTCACACAAAATCGAAAAGTTTCTCCTCAAGGAAGCTCTTTATTGCCTCCTTCAGGACACTCTGGTTCGGGTAAACATCGTACGAAAATAAATGTTTTACAACACCATTATATATCCCCTTTAAAAAAAAAAAAACAAAACAAACATTTACAATGAATATATTTGATATAAAAAAAATATATTCAAAAAGAAATTCACTTACGTCTATCACTTGAAGGGAGAGTTCATTCTCTTGTTCATCTTGCTTTCTCTTTGGTTCAGTTTTTATTTCTTAAATATCTTTAGCGAGCCATTTGAATAATAGGTACAGCTTCTGATTTTGGATGTAAAGCCTTTCAAACTCTTGGCGATAGTGGTGATAGTGATGGTTTTGTTATTTTTTTTTTTGTTTTCCATTCAAAGAAAAAAAAAACAAAAAAAAGGCTTATATATCATATATTGAAATTACTATATGATGCATCTTGATTGGTTGATCTTTTATGTGATCTTCTTTGATGTTCTGGATCAGGTGAGAAACAATTTCCATCGTTATCTGGTAATGGTAGATAGTATAAATAAAACTGTATATATAGTTGCAAGATTTGAAAAAACAAATGAATATTTAAGGAACAGTTTTATGTTCTAATATTTAAAGCGTATATCTAATATTTAAAGCGTATATCTAATATTTAAAGCGTATATCCAATAATGCTAATTATCAATTAATAATGTAATAATTAGTTCGATGATAATCGATAATTTGATATAAATCGATTACTTACCTATTTTGTTATTAATCAATTTTTGATATATATCGATTTATAACAAGTTAATCGATATGTAACGTTTAATTTTAATCGATATAAAACGATTATGCGTTATATATCGATATATAACTATTTAAAATATTTCGTGATGTTTTATCAGAGTTAAACCAGAAGCCTTTTCTTGTACAACCTTTCCTGTTTCAACTTGTTTTTAGTCTGCAATCGTTAGGAAGACCAGAGATCCCATATTTATACAGCCTAACTAAATTTGATCAGGATTTGGATATTTGGAATATGACATTTGTAAGAAAACTGGTAAATCCACAAATGAAAAATAAATTTTATGCATTTTGCCTTCTGTGGATATTGAACTAGGAATATGTATTTGAAAACCAGGAAGCACTATCTATTATACTATTGACCTACTGGTCTTATTTATTTATTTCTTTATTTATTTCTTTTTATTTTTTATTTAATAAAAATATAAATGAAAATATATTAATTTGTATTATTATCTTTCTTAATTTTTTTAAATAAAAAAAATCATGTTTTTATTTTTTTTTAGTTAAAAAAACAAGAATCAAATTTAATAAGCAGTAAAAAAGATTTGACTGTTGCACAAAAAAGAGCCATTATCTATGGTTACTTTAAAGAAGATTTATATCATATTATCACTACTAATATTGATTATAAGAAGTCTTTTATAGGAAATATTATAAATAAGTATCATAAGATAGAAATCACTATTTAATTCCTATATTATTAATAAAACTATTTATAATCTTTAAAAAATAAAGCTTCCAAAAAATTAGAAATTAGCTATGATACAATCAAACTAATAAATTACAAAATTACAAACTACTTGACTTTAATTTTCAATCAAATTTTGTTATCCTTTATAATATCCCAATTATAGAAACAAATGTTTATAATACTAATATCAAAAAAAATTATTTAGAGTCTTAAGCTTAATAATATAAGACTTATCTCATTAGTTAATTTAATAAGAAAAATATTTATAAAAATAATTAACAAAAAATTAATTAAAACAATTAAGTTAAACAATATTTTATCAGAATTCAACTTTATCAGCTTATCTGATCAAAGTACTCTTGAATTTTTAATCATAATAAAATTTAGCCATTCAGATTGCAAATACAAGCAATAAACAATTTTGGTTTATCTTACTAAATATTATCAAAACATTCAACTTAGCTCCAATTTCAACTATTTAAAAAGCCATAGAAAGAATTAAATATCCATCACAACTTATTAATTTTTTTTTTAATTTTCTTACAAATAGAAAAATCTCTATTAATATGCTATTTGAGTCCACTAATTCTTTTTTTATTAATAATAAAGTGAAATAAAGAAAAATTATCTTTTTAATTATTTGAATAATTTTCTACAACTCACTTATTAATATTACAAATTATTCAATCAAAATTCAGAATTTTTAGTTGCAACTAGTTAATTATATTTAAAACAACTAATCAATTAAAAATTTTTTTGTTAATTAAGATTACTACTACTTATTACTAAATTATCCAGGCACAAGTATATTCAAAATTATTTGGCTTCTAATATCCTTGCATACATGAATAATATTATACTAATCTCTGATTCCAAGTCTAAAATAAAAGCTCTCCTGAAAACTACAAGCCAATTAAATTTAAAAATTTAATATTAATTCAAGCACATGTATAATAATACAGTATAAGGTAAAACCTAAAGTATAGATAATAACTATTTATAACTTTGGATCTAACTATTTAATTTTTAATTATATATCGTCACATGATATATGGATATTAAATTATAGGGTACTGAATTTTTACCCTGAAAATTCTTGGTTCACTTTCAAAAATAATAAATCTCGTGAATTGATTGGCGCCGAACTACTTGACATTATTAGTGGAAGTGGGTTACGTCGATTTATTACGATCGCCTGATTAAGTGGTATATCAATACTGCTAAATACTTAACCAAAAATCGGCATATACAATATTTTTCCGGTGGGCACGTATACACCACACCACACCACATACACGCATACACAAGTTAAAAATCAGGAGCTCAACTGCGTGGGGACATTTTATTACAAATTTTTGATAATAATGTAAAAATTTCAGCGGTTTGAAATAGTAATGAATATTGCCTTCACTTTTTGACATTTCTACTCTTATATTTTCTGGCGTCACAGAACTTGACAGTAATTGCAATTTAGGTGGCGGTGTCGTTAAACCACTTTCATCAACTTCATCACAGTTCTGTAGCATGTTGAGCTGTTCTTCTTCCGTCAGATCTTCTTCCGTCAGATCTTCTTCCTCTGTTAGTTTGATTACATTTTTCACTATTGCCTTTAAAAAAGTTTGAGAAAAAAATAAACGAATTAAGACAGAGTAAGACAAAGTATAAATATCTAAAACGACGACACTTACCTTTGCCTTCCATATCAAGCTCATTGTTGGAAGGACTTTTGTACCGAATTCAGAGACTTGAGTTGGTATCTCAAAAAGTCGTGTCCGTGACAATCTACAAACATGTCCCGCTGGTAAATCTAACCGTAACAATGAGATCTTCAAGCCTAAAATGATAAAACCGAGTTATAAGAATCAAGAATTAGCGAATGCAAAAGCTTGTACATACCCGAGATGATAAAACCGACTGTTTCTAGCTTTCTGATTTTGTCCTTCCGCATTTTCATAGTTTCGCAAAGGTCATTGAACATATCCCTAAGCATTTTGGGCATTTTCAAACCCCCTTCTTTAATGATCTTTGTACCATTGGTGCCTTCGAATATTTTTCCAGCTTCACCACACCCATATTCCGTATGCCATTTCCGGATTATTAAATCTCCACGCCGACCCATTGACTTTTTTTTCATTGAACTTGTTGATGAAACCACCCGTTGTGAATTTTTTCTATTTGACGATACATAGCTACATGATTCACCTCTGTCACAAAGATAGTTAACTAAATTTATAACAGCGGGAAAATGTTTTCTCTAGAAATAAGCTTACCTAGCAATTTCCATGCCATCTATGTCTAAAAAGATTTTATCAATAAACGACCACACATGTAGCATGATCCAAAGTTCAAGGTGATGCTTTGCGAGATGATTCGCTTCATATTCAAGAACGCTACCATTATAACAACATCCTTAAAAATCATGTGTATAACAATATGACAATCAAAATAACTTTAAACTTACAGATTATATATAGTGTTACGTATCCAGTCATAATCGAAATTTTTTGATCGATCGAATGGTTGATCATGTACATCAGAGCGAAAGATCAATTCTCGAAGGTCAGAAGTATTGGACTATTTAATACATCATCTAAGCAAATTACATAATGTGTATGAAGAACATTATGAAGAAATACTCACTCACCTTTCGGAAACTATTAAGATACCTCAAAAGATCATCCGGCATTGATGGCAATTTTTTCTTACTAAAATTTTGAATTTCTTTTAATTCTTCAGGCGTGAAGATGCTTTGTTGTATATAGTTCTTGTCATCCGGGTCGATTACAAAAGAATGACAGAGACTTTCATAGAGTAAAAAAAACAAAATCATCGTTAAATTGCAGAAAAAAATATATAAAAGCAACGAGTAAATGCTTACTGTTCATGTGAGCACTTCATTCCAAATGCATATAATGCATCTTCAACAGTTTTTCCAGTTGACAAAGTCCATTTATCTTCTTTTTTAATTTTTCGATATTTATCCGTAAATTGCTGATACGTAATCGAAGTCATTTTTACAACATCATCATTGTTAGCTTCCTCAACATTCACATCTTCACCGGGTATGATCTGTGCACATCAGAAATATAAAAAAGGTGAGAAGACATTTTTGCGGGATTATTTGCAAAATATTCAATGCTAACCTTCTTTGTCTCCACAGAGGAAGTTGAATCTGAATGTAAAGTGCTATGGGAACGTTTACAACCCGAAGACGTTTCCTCCTCCTCGTCCACTTCTTTTTTGTAAGGTATGCGCAGTTGCTCTCCATAATGTTTACCTGACTCATCAAACGTAAGGGTTTCCTTATCGTAGGTTACTTTGACTTTGCGCTATTATGATAATTTACATGTATATAAGATTCCTTTCAGGAAAAATGCATAAATGATATTGAAAAAAATTCTCTATGATATCCTTACCTGTAATCGCTCAATGATCACCTCTTGCCAAAAAGAATCCAAGTCACTTTTGGTACGCTCCAGGTTCATCTTGTCAAAATAGAGTAAATAAAGTAGATGATTGAGATTCATTGTCACCTAACAAACCAAAATAAAACTAAATAGGACGGTTCGCAATGGTGGGACCAGAAAATTTCTGATGCTCCAAGCGCAGGTAATACCTGTCAAGGAGTTGCCTCACACCATCGGTTCGCAATGGTGGGACCAGAAAATTTCTGATGCTCCAAGCGCAGGTAATACCTGTCAAGGAGTTGCCTCACACC